CTGTGGCTCAAGAGGTAGAGGGCTTACCTTCAGCTGAAGAGCGCAGGAACAGTGCCCAGGTCCAGAGTTCAAGCCCCATGATCGACAAAAAAAAAGTGATACCAAGGGAAAAGGATATGATATATGCACACACACACACACACACACACACACATATGATAGTTTTATGTTTTATAGTTGTGGGAATGTACATAGTGTTTTCATAATGGCCTCACTCATGTGCATCCCTGTGAGTAGTGGATACAGGTTCCCCCTCCTCCACCTCCTCTCCAAGGCTTGTCATCCTTTGTCCTTCTGGTGACAATTATTCTAACTGATGAAAGGTGATAGCTCATTCTGTTTCACATCTCTGTGCTTATATGTGACACTGACCATTTTCCCACTACTTTTTGGATTTAATTGTGTTTTCTTTTGAGAACAATAAATTTGGATCTATCATCTATTACCGTTTTAAAAATCAGAGTATTTGCTAATCTTTTTCCATTTCTTCCTCTTCATCCTCCTCCTTCCACTCCCCCTCCCCCTCCTCACCCTACCCCCCCTCTGCCTCCTCCTTCTCTTCCTCTTCTTCTTCCACCTCCTCTTCTTCATTGTATTATTATTATTATTATCTTCATCTTCTGATGAGCGAGGTATTTTCTGACAGTTTATTTTCTCTTTTCAATTTTGGAAAAGATAAAGCAAAACTATCTCTTTTGTTTGCATAATTGCTCTTTCTAAGATTACTACTACTATGACTACTATCCCTACTATGTTTTATAGAAATGGTAAATGGCATTCTTGTCTCTATCCAGATTTTAAAGAGAAAATTTTGAGTTTAACATCATCCAGTATGTTAGCCATAAGCTTGTTATCTATGGTCATCATTATGTTTCTTCTATAAATAACATCTTTTTACCCTGAAGGAATGTTAAGTTCTATCAAATGATTGTGTATCATTTAAATGATCATGTGTTTTTTGCTATTCCGTTGGTTTTTCATATTTATTTATTTGCATTTGTTGCATCATCTTTGCATTCATTGGATTCATTTGGTTATGGACAAAAACAATGTTTTGATGTGCTTTAGAAGTCAGTTTGTTAATATTTGCCAGAAGAGTCTTCTTAAAAATCTGTATCCATGTCCAAAATGAGCTTTACAATTTTGGTGCGGGGGGGGGGGGGGGGGGGGGGAGGGAAAAGCTAAGTGACAGCGCCTAGATCTTGAGTTCGAGCCCCAGTACCCGTGCACACACCAAGCAGATCTACTACTCTTCCCTACCCCGATCTGAAAAGTGAGGGTGTCCGAGGAGCCCCTTCCTGGGCGGGGGGCGGGGCTCAGGCTCAGGCTTCCTTCAGGGTCCGAGGTGAAGTCTGTGCGGT